ATCAGGAATAATAATTTCCTAAATTCACCTTTAACATAAAATAAAATCAGTTAATCATACATCACGCGAATACCCCTGCACGACCCTCCTAAAGGGGGCTATACTTGACTTGGGGACTAGATGAGCGGGTACCGTTCTCAAATTAATGTTTCTTTGATTAGTTAATGTGAAAAAAGAGTTATGAGAGAACAAAAACATGAGTGCAGGAGCCAATGTATGATGGGGAGGGATGAGTGATAGCTTGCACTGGATTTCAATACTGCAGTAAAATATAGTGTATATTTTGTAGGTCAAAATGAAATTAAGGTTAAAATGATTTTAACCTAGTTTGATTCGCAATTTCCTTTGTCTTCTAACCCCAATTATTCATGATCCATGAATAACTAGGGTTAAGAGACAGAGGAATTTCATTTTAATCTCAATTTCATTTTGACCTTAAACATATCCATGTACTAACTGAATACAAATTTCATCACCCTACGAGAGTCATGCCAACAATATTTACAGAAGTTATGTAATTTAAAAACAGTGCCANTGCGGTTCAATTTGGGGATCATTTGCGGTCCTGGGATCATTTGCGGACCCGTACAGAACTCTGGCTAAAATATAAGAGTTTGTATGGAGATTAGGATTTGACATTAAATTCGTTCAATGTTTGGGCAATTTACCGAATAAAGACTCTTGAACGTTCCATGGTGTCATTTTTTCTCATCATGGAGAGTTTAAACGAGATTTGAGCGAATTTTGAAAAATTTGTCCAACGCTAATACGGTGAAAACTGAATGTGTGCTTCATTGGATTGTAGAGAGGGAAACTACAGGCCTTACCTTGTGAGTTCAGCGAGAAATATTGTGAGTAAATGCTATTTTTTGTGCAAATTTGACTCGTTTCCGAAGAGTGTTTAGTCGTCAAACTGGCCGAAGATTCCTACCTTGTCTCTTATTAAAACAACGTTGGACAAATTTTTTAAAATTCGCTCAAATCTCGTTTGAACTCTCATGATGAGGAAAAATGACACCATTGGACGTTCAAGAGTCTTTATTCGGTAAATTACCCATACATTGCACGAATTTAATGTCAACTCCTAATCTCCATACAGACTCTTATATTTTTAACCAAAGTTCTCCATACAAACTCTTATATTACGTTTGCGTGACCTGCGCTGAGATTCCGGCTCCTATTGGCTTTGCAAACACAATAGAATGAAACCGGAACCAATCAGATTTGTCAGACTTGACTCTGAGCATACGCATCACTCTCCGGTGTTGGAACCGGCCAGAGGTCGTGATTCTTGGTGCTGACCAAAAGGCGCGCGGCCTCTGGGGACGAGAATGCCCGCACGATTGTTGCATAACCTCTGTTCATAGTAAGAATATGTGTAGAAAACAGCGCTGCAATCACAAGGTTGGACATTTTGCAACGGCTTTTCCGGTGCGAAAGCTTTTCGGCACCTTCGAGAAACAGGCCCAGGTCCCCTCGGTCATTTTCAAGATGGTGCAAGGGTCGTGCAAGCCCGGGGGCCCGTTTCTGGAAGGTCCCGAAAAGCCATAGCAAAATCTCAAACCTTATTACCACAGAGCTGTTTTATTCACGTATTCTTAATACGAACAGAGGTTCCCCTCATACAAGAAGTATCAGGCGTATACACCTCTCTGTCGTAAAATACCGATTAAATAAAAATGGCTTTTCGGGCCCAAAAAGTTTCCGGAGCTTTCGAGAAACGGGCCCAAGGGGTGAAAGGTCATGATTCGTGAAATTTTTTTCTTTCTCGCGAATCGTGATTTCGCACATTAGTAGCTGTGAATCATGACTTTTCAAAATAAGTTTCTGTGAAATGAATGTATTCTCGTATTTTCGGCACCCTTCATTACATATTAATAAACCCTGCATAACCAATCCGTTCGATTGTTCTGCACTTCTGGGGCGGATCTAGGGGGGTTCCGGGGGTTCGGTCGAACCCTCTAAATTAAAAAAATAAAACATAACACGCTGACTGAGCCACCTAAATTTTAACACTTTTCCGGGGAAGAATGTGAAAGTAATTAAATTCTCACAAACAATATACGTAATGGTAATAGGACTGAGTGGAGTCCAATTCGGGCGGTTATCATAAGAGTGATAACAAAATTGTACAACCGCGCAGCGGGAGTCCGATTTGTTTATCACGAGTATGATTACAGACCGAATAGAACGACACGAAGTCTTATTACCAATTAATCATAAAAATTACAATTTCCGAGAAAAGAAGAATAGCCAAGTTATGAAAGAAAGGGAAAATTTGCATTAAAATACCTGCAAAGGAGATGTAAACATTCTGAGGCCACCGCGTCTCCTACCGGCAATTAGGCGCCAGAAACACAAAAGCAAGTGCGCGCGCGCACGCACGTAGCTACAGCTTTGAATGTGATTGGTTGATTTAAACTACAACTTCGAATGTGATTGGCTTATTGAATTGTCCGATAACAAACTGTCCAATAACAACTTGTATCGTGAATTAGTGGAAGATAGGAGTCTTTTAAACCAATCGCAATCGAGGAAATTGTAATTTTTTATGATTACACACATAATCGAGTTACTAGATAGATAGACAACCTTTATTTTCTAAAAAGTTAAGCATTTATGCATCTCTACCTTGGGTTGAATGAAAAATAAAAATCAAATTACACTTGAATAATTGAAAAATCGTGACAGTAACTTTTTTGAATTATTAAAACGATATACATGAATTAAGATATTAGATTATGAGCTCACGATTTCTGTCGCGTGTCAACTATACGCATAGAAATCGAGAGCGAATAATCTAATTTCTTTAGTATAAATCTACTAGTCGTTCAAAACTTTATCTAAATACTCTTCAGACATCTCGAAAACGCCAAGAAGCGGCCGTCATTTTGTTAACAAGCGCACACTGCTACGCTACTATCTATCACAGAATAGATAGTGAGTAGCGTAGCCAATCAGAAAACGGCATTCGTGATAGAACGTTAGTAGATTTATACTAACACGTGATAGAATCGAGAGTGAATAATCCCGGCAATTGTTTTAGTACAAATCTACTAGTCGCTCAAAACTTTATCTAAATCCTATTCACAGACACTTCGAGCGGCCGTCATTTTGTGAACAAGGGCACACTGTTACGCTACTCACTATCTATCACAGAATAGATAGGGGGTAGCGCAGTCAATCAGAGAACGGCATTCATAATAGAAAGCTAGCAGATTTATTCTAATTATAAACAGAAACTTGGCTCTGATGTATAAGTAATGTTATATGTAGTTTCTGAGCATCCCAGAATCCTTAGCAACAATGATTACAAAGTATGGCTCTCCGAATATAAAAAGCTTTTCTAGCAGAAAAGAAATATTACAGAGAATAGTCTGTAACGCGTGGCAGTCGTCTAAATTCCTGCTCCGAATAAAACCCAACTAAGGGAAGGAAAGGACGCGATTTGAACCTAAGATTCGTTGTTCGATGGACTGAGTCCCACGAGGAAAGGCGTGTGGGGTACAAGTCGTGTGTGGAATGTCTGCTACGTCATGGCATAAAAAACAACAACATGTAAATGGCATGTGAATAGAAACGACTCTTGGAATTTAGACGATCAAAGACTAGGCCAAAAAGGCCTACCATTTTGATCTAAATACTGCTGCTACTTGTGATTGGAGCACAACTCGTCTCCTAAGAATTTTTCATTTCTACAAAGATCTGATACACCTACAAACGTGTGTCAAACCATGCAAATATTTTAAATCAACCACATGCATCACCAGAGAAGGTTTTCCGTTTTTAAATTCTCCAATTACTAACAGACCAAGCGGACGTCTGGCCATGGTTTGGTGTTACGTCATGTTGCCTGGCAAGTACTCTCGCGAAAGCCCGTGATGGCGAGCAGTCTCTCTCTTGCTCGAATATCCGTGGGAAAAACGCAGAGAAGAACGCACCACAAGTGAGCGATCGTGAAGGTGCGAACTTGAAATGTGACGCCAAGAATCGCAAGTAGCGCGGGCCTCGGAAGACGAGCGAAAAGAGGGACTGCAATGGTTTCATACAGCCTTTCTGAAGCCCGGCACTTAGTTGACAGAGTAATTCTATTGGTCGGTCTACGAAGTCTCTTTTCGCTCGTCTTCCGACGCCCGCGCTACACGTGGTTTGCGGCTCCGGCCTCGTCTCTCACCTCTCGTATGTCACGCTCGCCGTCACGCTTGCACATTCACTTGTTTTGCGTCCTTCCCTATGGACAAGAGGCTGCTCCCAATCTATTAAAGCCTCGTAATTCACGCCACTTGCAAGTGCTTTTTATCGTTAAAAGTTATGTATACCAAGCTATAATGTTGGGTAGTACAATAGTTTTATCGTTTAAACTTTCAAGAGTAATCGATATTTTATTTTTCTTAAATATACTTGAACAGCCTCCTCCACAGGCTTCTCTCCTCCGCAGAGGTTCGAAACGTTCGTTATAGAAAGCCGCTGTGCCAGGTGAGTGCAGGCGCAAGGTCGAATAGATCAGCGGATTCTCCCCACCCGTTTGATTGTTACTACACAGTAAATGAGCTGTTTTACTTTCAGCTACAATTTAGATTTGTTGCTGTTCATTAACGGCCGCAGGTACTTGTAGTAACCTGGCTGAACCTGAAATGAAAACACGTTTGTCTCATTATTAACATCAAACAAGAGGAAGAAACCATGCAAGCAACAGAAGCAACATTGTTGTCACCACATTGTCACATGACAACCCAGTTTTCTAAAGAAGGTAGAGCCGTAATGGTGACAGCGTACCCGAAAAAGCGAAAGAAAGGGGTCAAGCAATTATCGTGACGTTATTATTTCACCGAGCTGCACATTTTCCGTCATTTCTTTTCTATCACACATTTCACGCATTGACATCCCTAATCTTAGCAGAATAGCGTGACGCATGTCACAATACAACCGAGTAAAATAGTCAAGCTCATTACGAGTTCTCTGTAGCTCAGTGGTGAGAAGATCTGACTCTTAGGTTCCAATCCTATTCTGGACTCGGAATTTTTTTTTCGATTCTCCAACGCTTATGGAAGGGGTTTTGAACCAATCCAACAAAATAAGCAAGGCTTTGCGTCATCATAGCAAACTGAATACTGTATTGCAAAAAGCTACACTACAAAACAATCAGTTTAACCTTTCATTTGGTCTTATGTTTCACGCCCACGTATTTGCGTATATATTTTGCGATTTTGTTTTCGACTCAGCAAATGATCCTAATAAAAGCTAACTTGAGACAACATTGTTCATCCAATGGCCCTCATTCCATGAAAAGCAGGCCCTCTATTTACAGCTCACAGTTAAGACACGGTTGACTTTACCTCTTCCTTATTCAAAGCTGATCTCTGAGCCCATCTAAAAAGGGCTTCATATACGTTCCCATCGTAGCGTCCAAGCGGTGAGTTGAGTACGTAATCTGAATGATCAAAGGCGTCTACCAGACACACTGCTTCAGGCCTGTAAGTTCAAATAACAACAACAAACTTCAATATAAGTTGCATAAACATGGGAAGACGATAACAGAGACGAAGAAAGATCACGAGGAAAAGGAACCGCTCGTTGAAGGTAGAGTTGAGCCGTCTAACCTAATCTGTAGGGGGCAGTACATTGTGATAAGTTAAGATAGTTTCACTTAAAGGAGTTCAATCACGGTATTTTGACTGAGTTATTTTGGCCACGTACAATACATTGCCTTTAAATTCAGAGAACCCTAGTGTAAGTGTACTAAGAAAGAAAAAAAAAGTGTATTAGAAAGAAAAACGCTTAAAAGATACTTAACACAAGGATCGCTAAGGATGGAGAAGATTAATACGGATTACAAACGACGAACTTGAAAAGTTTAGGATAAACTCTTCATGATACACAAATGGTAGCTCCTTCAACCGCTTACGATGGAAGGTCGCATAAACTTTCGACTTAATTTCAAACCAGATACCAGCTGTACATGTTAGAGTCGTTAAATGACTACATTGACAACNTATTCATCTCCTTCGAGCGGAGCGAGAGGGAAACCAACAAGCCAGGGAAGAATTATTAGAAAGGACTTTTAGAAAGTCTGCGTCCATCACAACTTACAATGTTCTCGAAAGAGACGGCAGGAAAAATATACTTCATATAACAAGACACCAAATGGGTTAATTCATGGGAACCCACCAAGTAGGAACAGGTGACAATACCCCTGGGGGTGGTGATATTCCCATGTACAAGCTATTCACCTGTAGAACCTTGTAGGTATGTGATGTCTCTTTGGTCTGAAAACGGGTTTGAGTTTTGAACATTTTGGTCTGAAATTGGGTACGGATAGCTGGTCTCTGAGTTAAAAGAGACCTTTACTTAAGTCACAGATTAAGTGTTTCTGATCTTTATCCATGGCAATTTGTCGAAACAGACCTTCTTCTACCAACTGCATTGTTTAATGTTATCATTAAAGACTATAATTGAGCATTGGCTAGATAAGAATTGTTCAAAGTCACTCGGCTTACCTAGCTACTTGTAAATAAAGAACGTCATTATCTCCCTCGTAAGTGCAAGCAGCATTTAGCACTGTGTATAACCCAGGAAGAGCGCTGTACAGTAAGAAACCATGTCCACCACAAGCCAGTCGACATGTCTCAGCATGGTGCATGGATGTTGATGTACAGAACGCTTTAAGACCACTGGTGATAGCATGCACCTACAGACAACATGTGTAACATGAGTATTTGAATACTTGCACTGGGGGTGGTACTTGAAACCTTATCGGTCCAACCTTTCTCAGTTACTTTTGGGGAAGTTGAGAAACCTGAACATCCTTGCATTACAAAGAAAGGAAATAAATTGAAGAGAGGGACACTATATACAGGCAAATATGAAATAACTATTGTCTATAGTCAGGAGTTGACATTTTTGAAATGTGTATATTGATTGGCTGTCATTGACATGTATTTATTTTTGGGGGGAGGGGGAGGAGATTGAAAAGTCGCTTTGGCTCATTTTTTGGGCCTTCATCAGTTCATTGTACATGATTTGAGCTTGCGCTTTTTGTTGAGGTGATGTCTGCAACTGATCAACGTGCCGGGAACAACCACATAAGCATGCCAACTGGTTATACATTGTCAGCGGTACGCGTGGGCTAAAGTTTTAAATGATAGTCTTTGTGGTCACGTGCTAAGTCTTGCAATACGTTTTTGTAATTTTAAATTTAACCATACGTTCTTCTGAAAAGCCAAAACGTAAATTTTCCATCTCGAAAACGCGACTAGGAACCAGCTATACACATTTCAACACCTATAATAATACACTTCGCTCATCTAAACTCTCAATGACCTGACTACAAGATTCCCTCCCTTCCACACCTCCTTTATCCCTTTGTATCATCTTCAACATCACCGCTACCTTATTTCCTACGCTTCCTCCCTCTTTCTCTACCACCACCCCTCCCTCACTACCAGCTATAGATACTCTCTTTACATTCCTCTCTACCCTGCGCTCTTGCCCTCCAGCGCAAATCTGTTGATGTTGTCTATGCACACGCGCTCGTGTGCGTACGCTAATGACACAAAAATCGTGCGCAGTAGGAACGGGCAATGCAATTCAGAGAATCACCTTATAACGAGGGCATGTAACGCTTCACAGATTGCATCTAGGACATGGGCCATCCAAACCAATCAGAGCACCATACATAGCTCAGTTACTTTGCAGTATATCAGCATTGATTTTTCAGGTACACACTTAGATGCCACAATCACGACGGACGCAATGAGCTTATGACAAGAAACATGTTTGTAAGGAATTCGTTAAATGCAAAAAAATTCCCCTCACAGCTCATTTCAGAACTCTTCCACAGGCTTACCTCTGGTAACATAGAAAATTCTCCCGCAGCAACTTGCTTCTGCATTTCTTGAAATGATCTCCAGACATGGTCAAAAGTAAACTTGGTAGCATAAGCCATGGCTAAACCTGGTAACAGTTTGTACTGTTGGGTTTTATAGGCGATAATCTGTGCTTCCGGCTCACTGCGATGAAATAAAAAAAACATTACAAATTAGTGGTGATTATTGACACCTTCATGTGTATTTTATAGTCAGAATTATTTCATTCCTAGTCATTTTATAGAGGTACTCGATCACAGTAACGTCATAAATGAGAAAGCTTTGCCCTGCAGCCGTAGTGAGCTTGCAAATGACCGTGTCAAGCTCTCAATTAATGTTCCTCTTGTTAACAGCCATTTGCAAAGAGAAAATATTCTACATCTTTTGAAAATTACAGGGCTTGACTAATGGTCAGAGATACATTGTAAGTAAAAATTTTGATTTAGCTAATAGCTTTTGTGTTGCTACAAACCTCTTTGACTAGCGAAAAAAACGGGTTTTTTTTTGTTACAGAGTTTGACGAAATCCAAAATTGCCATACATGTAGTTGTTATTAAATATATACAGATGAACTGGCCACAGTGAAAATAAGAAAAGGACGATATGCCAAATATTCCAAGAAAACCTCTCCAATACCAGCAATTTTTCCCAGCCAGTTCAGTGAAGCATGCAGTGAACTGGTCCAGACACAGACTGGCGATTACTGTAGGATTGATTTGTAAACAAGGCCTTGTGACTAACTGCCACCTTAACATACCTAGGTTTGAGTTGACTCTGCCTCCGTACTGCACTGTAACGAATAGCAATGGTTATTGCTTGGGAAAGTCCGCCGTAGCAATCATGAACAATGGCTGCTCGCACAAAACTCATGGTGCCATACAAAAGTTTGGTGTTTGCTGGTTTGGTGAAGGTGCCATCAGGGGAAAGCTATTGTACACAACAGAGGTATTGTACCTTTTTGATATCTACAATCGTGGACAAAAGTCCTTGGGACACTTTTTTACACTTATGTAATGTAACGGATTATCTGTGTTTTAGAACTGAAGTATGAAGAAAACGCTGCAATATCCTTTATAAATGGGTTGCTGTCCTCCCTCCCCACCCAACACAATGTTGAAAATCAGTTGAAATTGCACGTAGTAGTTTTCAACATTGTATGGGGGGAGGGGTTGGGGGCGAGGTTAGGCAAGTGAAGTTGTATTCGCGCCTGGCGTGTACGCAAAAGCGTCAAAAGTGAAAATTTGTCCAAAGACTTTTGTCCATGATTGTAGATACAGTCATTATCTTTGGGTTATGCATTGTCAGCGTAATAGGCAAGTTTGGTCGAACAATGGTTTATATTTAGGCGAGATCTACAGTCAAGCTAAAATACCCATGACAAGACCAAAATGAACCTGAAATGTCTGAAATGCAATTAAAGAGTACCAAATAAGCTACAGCTAGTATCTACCAAGCCAAATTATTTGGCCATAAATCAGATCCGGGTGACTTGATATTGCAGGTTCTCAGGAAAATAGGCACAGCTCGCTGCTTCTGGTTGGCTAATAATACTGGGACCTCATGTTTGCTAATTACAGTTACATACCTTGTTTGATTTTATGTTAATTTTCTGAGAATAGAGCAGTTTTCAATTGAGTGTCGTAAACCCAAAACCAAACCCATAACTTACAGCGATTTTGTGTGGAAAGTAATCAGGCAATTACTTTGGTTTTGAGATTGACTGAGTAGTCTAATTGGTAAGTTATTGGTTTGGTTTTGATTTAAGACACTTAATTGAAAACTGCTCTACCAGTTAGACAGCTCGGCCAGTCTCAAACCATAGTCAAGCCTTTGGGTTTGACCAAAACCAAAGTAGTTGCCTGATTTTAACACTCAATTGAAAAACGCTCTTATCCCTAATGACGTTTATCCCAGACATTAGTAGTTTAACATAACATACAATGATAACAGTGAAGAAGCAATATGCTGAACTAATTACTGAGTACACCCTCTACACATCATAGTGATGATTATTATTACAAAATTCAAACCACTCAGGAAGCTAATTGAAATTCTCCTTTTCAGCGTGGACTAGAAATGTTTGCCATATAATGAATACCAGACTAGACTGAAGTTGCACAAGTTCAATATTATTATGGAATTTACCAATCAATTTTGCGATGACAGGCTTGTTTTTTACCTTTGCTAGCCCCATCAGCATTTGGTCGAGTGGAATTCGTACATGGTCAAACATTAGATATCCATTGTCAGCTCCATTCAGAGTTGGAGAAAATTTGGCTCCAATATCTCCTACCGTTACACCTGGGAAATTGAAAAAGGCATGACAAACAGCAGTGAGTTACTTGTTTTTCCTCCATTTGGTAACACATGGAATATTATGTTACTGAACACACATGTCACTAATGTTTCTGTAAGCAAAAGACCCAGATACAAAAATATTGTCAAATTTGTTACACAGACTACTCAACACTACCGGTAAGTTCAGAAGGCCTACAAACACTTGATCTGCCAATTTGCAGGACTCCAATTTTTGTCACTTCATGCCTAGGACTGTTGCAAATTAAATGATCCTGGACAAGCACTCTGGAAGGTTTTCTAGTAGTTTCATGGCATTCTTTGCTAAAAAAAATTAACTAACACATTTCTTTTCTTTCCATTACTTTCTTTTCCTTCTGTTTTATTGAAATGTGAGATACGAGTACACACTGAGTTGTCTCAGTCAAAATGCCAACTTGAAGTGTCCAGAGCCTTGCCACTCAACAATCAAGGGAATTGTGGAAACTTTTCATGTGTGTAATACATGTAAATCACATATTGACTAAGAGTGCTCAAGACCATGTTGGGAGACTATCAGCCCTCATGATCAGTCTTTTAGTATGGACCTTGTTGTGCTCCATCTGTGCTGTCAAGGACCACAGGCCAATAATTCTGATAGTAGTCACGGTAACATCTCTCGCACTTAGTTAGTAACATTATTTAGTTTATTTCTACCTATATAAAAGACCAGACAAGCTAGGTCAAGTATTCAGGTGAAAATGTATACTGACCTGAAAAAGAAATAGACCAATTTGGAGATATTAAAATTCAGCCTAAAACAATAGACCTCAGCATAAGGCTCCAGGGATAACTATAGTATAGACTTTGTGGGTTTATTCTCCAGAGCCTTGTGCTGAGGTCTATTGTTTTAGGCTGAATTTTAATATAACATTGAAATTGCTCTATTGAGATTGCTTGTTCAACAAATCAAGTTGAAACAGACTATTATCTTGATTGTTCTTATTTATGTTTAGTCTGCTCTTGTTATTGACATCTCCTCTAAAAAGCAGTGGACAGGCTAAGGGCCATTAAGGAGGACTGCACTGCAACATACCAGGCAGAGGCTGATGTGTCTGTCGATCCCGCAGCTGAACTATGAACATCTGTATTCCATGATCCTTTTTATCTACTATTAGCCTTGCAGGCACAACAGCAAAATTTGAAGACTTGCCCACTGGAAATAATAACAATGTAGGCCAAAGGTTAGAGATATATACCAGTTTGCTTTAAACATGGTGTGGCTGGGAAGATATCTCACAATGTAAAAAGTTAATGTAACTTATTATTAAATAAATAAGAAATTTCAAATTCATTTTTTATCTTTCTAGTAGCATTATGTAGACATACATCTATGTATATCACTCATTCACTTGGTACAATTCACAATTATAATAATTAATATTGAATGCCATTCAATAAAATATATATATTTTTTGATAATTTTGAAAAACACTATACAATGTACCGGTACATGACCGTACATTGTTGATAGAGAATAACAGCGTGTATTTTAAACTTGGAAAATTGTACTAATTGACTGAGTGAAATTCATTTCTTTTCATCCCAGTATTTTCTGGAAGACATGGAAAAAAGTCACTCCACCTTTACCTGCAGTTATATTTTGAAAGGCAAGTGAGAGGCGAGGAAACATTTGATGTGTTCCCACAGCAGATCTTATTCTCTCTCTAAATTTCTACCTTTTTCTATAACTCACCATTGGTTTAGTTGCAGGATAATATGGGTTTCGACAAAACACTGACCCCCAGTCAACTGACCCCCTACTGACCCCCCTACTGACCCCCTATAAAATCAATGGGAAAATGAAAATTAAAAAAGCCCAGAACTATCAATGAGACCAATTCAAGTTCATCAATAAATTTAGCTTACCTGAAACTTCCAAGATGGTGGACACGTTGCAGATTTCCGACTCTCTTGTTCTCCTTTGACTGTTTAGTGGAGGTTTTGTTGACGGAAGATCGAGCAAGAATAAGCTTGAATATCATCAAATATTGTTTTCATCCGCATTGGAAAATGAAGCAAAGAAAAAAGCTGACAAATGAGCAGGCTTGCGAAAGGCTTGTGATGGACTGCTNTGATAGTTCTGGGCTTTTTTCAATTTTCATTTTCCCGTTGATTTTATAGGGGGTCAGTAGAGGGGTCAGCAGGGGGTCAGTAGGGGGTCAGTGTTTTGTAGAAACCCGGATAATATTCTTATTCTTTTAGCTAATAGTATACGTTCTTTTATTAAGATAAAAGACAGATATCTTTTTTACTTCCTTGATGGAATCTACTTGAGGTTATGATATGGAAATTGAAGAAAGTAAATAATAGCTTTTTTCTTCACTGCACCTTAGCTATCTGAAAATGCGAAATTTCATTTCTATCTGTAGTTGAGTCAGAAACTACAGGACCTGGGACTAGTCAGGCCATGACATATCTTTCTTACATGGTCATAGTTTTGAAGCAAAACTGGAATTATATTTGAAGGGGTGTGTGGAAAAAAAGTCCTGAGTGACTTTGTGACTTAATTTCGAGAAGAACAGCATTTTGTCATTTCAGTTGTTATAATATTGCTTTTTCTTATTTAAAACGGAGTGGGTTAAAGATGATTTCCAGTCCATACTGGGCAGTCTCAGCATCCCATGCCAGTATTTGCAAGTCTCACCCGATGAAAGGCAAATCGATGCTATTCCACATACCTTATCTTTGAAGCATTTTAAATTCTTTTTCCAACAGTTTCTTTGATTTTTACAGCTACAGAGTTGTTTCATCAAGTGATAACATAAAGAACAAAGCATAAAGCTTCCCATCCATAGTGGATGATATGAAACTTTGAAATTACTTCATGTAAGTAGTTGCAAAATGTTACATTTTGTGATGTCTTACAAGAATCAAAACAAAAAACGTATATCCCTGTACCAATGATTTTTTTTTTCACATCTTAAAAATAAACATACGTACTGTTTCCTGGCCACCATTTACATGCTGACAGTGACGGTGAATGAATAACAAACTCTTGCGTTGTCTTGTCGTATGTTGCTGTAGTCTCCAAGCCTCGCACAAAAGTCCCTTGAAACATAATAAATTATTATTGACCGAATTGATAAATGCCATTTGGTGAAATACTCTGCTATAGACTACATACTATTTTAAATAGGTGCTTAAAAGGATGACCCAAATGATCAATAGAGGTCTCTCAAGCTCAAAGCATGTTCTAATAACAGGAGCAGGAGGCCAAAGAACTGAACTTCTCTGTAAGAAAAACTTTTCATTAGATGGTCAAACCAGCTGGGCAAAATTGTCCTCACAGCTGGTCAGCTTGCCTGGTCCTTAATGAACCCTGCATAATAAAGGAAAAAAAACAAATTTTCTACAGTATGGGGCTTATAATAAAAAGAAGTTAATCCTTTGTCAAGAGCTATACCTGGGTCAATCAATGATAAGTCCCATGAGAGGGCGTGTTATCACAAAGCCAGAACTGGAGAACAGTACTTAGTATATATGGAGACTGTTGATACTTATCTGTATCTAGACCTGTGTAAAGAACTTACCATGTCCTAGTTCAGTCTGTGCATAAGTTCCAATAATCTGATAAGATTCTGCTAAAGGCAGCCACTTGGCTTTCTGTTCCTCTGTTCCCTGACCCTAAACAGACAATCATGTAAGTCTGGTTGTCATTAGAGAATAAATAAAATTATAATATATAATTATGGATAAAAACAAACGATCAAGATTCTTCCAAATGTCATAAGTATTGTTTGTCTGCCACTAGTTTCTACAGTATGTAGTAATTCTAATCATCAATAAATATGTAACATTGCCTTTCTCAATTTATGCTTACAACTAGTTTTACCAAATACATTGTCAGTACCTTTAAAGTGGGAATAAACATAACTCTGCTAAGGTGAAATGGAAAAATACCCCCTGCAGACCTAAAGAAAGAACAAATCATCAATCCATGCTCATTTGAAGTTCTCACTAATATGATAGTGACATGATAATAATGGAGACAGGGAGACAAGGGTGCATATAAATGAGATCAGAGGAGATAGGTATCAACAAAGGTTGTCAGTAAGTGTAACTGTTGCTGATGGAAGGGAAAGGGGTGACAGATCAGAGGTGGGGTGGAGAGGTAGGTGCAAAGAGTGACAGTCAACAGGGACAACAGAGAGCAGAACCATACAGGTTAAGCCGTGAGTGTTAAGGGAAAATAAAGTAAGGGGCGAGGGATAAGGGATACAGGGTAAGGGGCGAAGGATACAGGGTAAGGGATGAGCAGTAAGTAATACAGGGAAGGGGGTGAGGGATACAGGGTAGGAGGTGAGGTTGAGGAATACAGAGTATGGGGTAAGGGATACAGGGCAAGGGGTGAGGGGTGAATAATACATGGTAAGGGATGAGGGATACAGGGTAGGAGGTGAGGTTGAGGGATACAATGTAAGGGGTGAGGGATACAGGCTAAGGGGTAAGGGATACAGGGTAAAGGGTGAGGGGTAAAGGGTAAGGGGTGAGCTGGAAGTGGTACAGGGTAAGGGGTGAAGGATATAGGGTAAGGGGTGAGGTATATAGGGTATGGGGTAAGGGATACAGGGTATGGGGTAAGGGGTACAGGGTGAGGTGTGAGGAATACAGGGTAACGGGTGAAGAATATAGGGTAAGGGGTGAGGGATACAGGATATGGGGTAAGGGGTGAGGGTTAAGTAATACAGGGTAAGGGGTGAAGGATACACGGTATGGGGTGAGGTTGAGGGATACAGGATATGGGGTAAGGGATATAGGGTATGGGGTAAGGGATACAGGGTAGGGGGTGAGGGGTAAATAATACAGGGTAAGGGGTGAGGGGTACAGGTTATGGGTGAGGGATACAGGGTATCAGGTGAGGGGTATGGGGTAAGGGATTAGGGATAGTGGGTAAGGGGTGAGGGATACAGGGTAAAGGGTGATGGATACAGGGTATGGGGTAGGGGATACAGGACAAGTAGTGAGGGGTACAGGATATGGGGTGAGGGATACTAGGTAAAGGGTGAGAGGTGAGGGGTGAGGGGTAAGTAATATGAGATATGGGGTGAGAGATACAGGGTATGGGGTGAGGGGTAACTGTAAGGGTCTTAGAGCAGACCAAGGGTGAATGGCAAGAATAAGTTGTATGGGATAAGGTTTAGAAGGGTGATGGGCAAGGGATATCAGGTAAGGGATGTGGGATATTGAGCAAGAAGTAAAGGCATTGTAATTAACAATTACCGATATTCCATGAGCGTGCATTGGATATGAGATGGTAGATAGCCAACTTGGCGCTACGTACCTCGTTGGCTATAATCATCTCATATCCAACAAGCGCGAGTGATAATTGTTTTATTCAAAACGCCCCAAAATTATAGAAAACTAGACTGAAATAAACATTAAAAACGCCCCCAAAATTCATGCGTATGCTTACCATATTTGTAGAGCAATGAAACCTCTCAAATTGCATTATACAGTGACCCAGTTTTTAATAACATAAATTATACCATGCCATAGCAAATAAAATTATATAAAGCCAATAACAATAATTTATTTATTTATTTACTTAGTTAATTTGTGGTACTACACCCAACCTTCCCAATGTCACTTCCAATGAGTCACTTGTATACACAGGGGTCTTTAAAGGAGGTCACTCCAAAAAGCTTACTTTTTTGTCTTCACCTATAGCAAGTAAACATTCAGCTTTTCCACTCATTAAAGTGTCAGCATCTAGTTTCTGCTATCCTGAAGAAATTTGTCTCGAAAGAAGCCCAAATTTCGACTTCAGAGAGTGCCATTTTGAAACTATACTTAGCAGTCAGGCCGTGTTTATGTGAGGTCATTCTGTCCAACTAGATTTTGGCGGGAAGGAGATAAACCTACAACTGACTTTGCATCCTTCATGAGGTCAGCAAAATGTAGTTTTTCCAAGTGATTATCCACTTCCTTAATTATCTTCAGTGCTAGCATTTTCGGAGTTTGGAGCAGCCACTAAACCCAGAGCTGTAGCTACAAGGCTTGGCAGAAGTCATTTAGAAAAATTTTTTTGGACTGAATGACATCACAAAAACACGGCCTAGCTGCTGAGTATTGTTCAAAATGGCAGCAACAATGTCACACTTTAGGCTTCTCTGGAGATAAATTTCAGAAGGGACAACCTGCACTTTAGAGGCTGAAACTCTGATGAGTAACTAAGGTTTTTATTAGCGTTGACGGAAAGTATATGTTTTTTGGAGCACACAAGTGAGGGATGTCCCATGGTACATTGAAAACCACTGGCAAGTGTTGCATAACTAGTATTTATACCAAGCCATAGAAAATACGGCGGCCACTCACTGAGAACACAGTCAATCAATTCAGCACACAATGGGAAGATTGTGGGAAATACTGCGAGTCATATGTAAACAACAGCTTTCCTATATTCTAATTGGCTGTATTATNAGGGTGAATGGTAAGAATAAGTTGTATGGGATAAGGTTTAGAAGGGTGATGGGCAAGGGATATCAGGTAACAATAAGAATAATTAATTTATTTATTTAGTTAATTTGTGGTATTACACCCAACCTTCCCAATGTCACTTACACAGGGGCCTTTAAAGGACGTCACTTCAAAAAGCTTACTTTTTTGTCTTCACCTATAGCAAGTAAACATTCAGCTTTTCCACTCATTTAAGTGTCAGCATCTAGTGTCTGCTATCCTGAAGAAATTCGTCTCGAAAGAAGCCCAAATTTCAACTTCAGAGAGTGCCATTTTGAAACTGTACTTGGCAGTCAGGCCGTGTTTATATGAGGTCATTCGGGCCAACTAGATTTTGGTGGGAAGGAGATAAACCTACAACCGACTTTGCATCCTTCATGAGGTCCGCAAAATGTATTTTTTCCAAGCGATCATCCACTTCATTATCTTCACTGCTAGCATTTTCGGAGTTTGGAGCATGTTTGACTCAAAGAGCAGCCACTAAACCCAGAGCGGTAGCTACAAGGCTTGGCAGAAGCCATTTGGAAAAATTTTTTTGGATAGAATGACATCACAAAGACACGGCCTGGCTGCTGAGTATTGTTCAAAATGGCGGCAACGATGTCACACTCTAGGCTTCTCTGGAGATAAATTTCAGAAGGGAAAACCTGCACTTTAGAGGCTGAAACTTTGATGAGTGGCTAAGGTTTTTATTAGCGTTGATTAAAAGTATATGTTTTTTGGAGTACACAAGTGAGGGATGTTCCATGGTACATTGAAAACCACTGGCAAGTGTTGAATAACTAGTATTTATACCAAGCCATAGAAAATACAGCGGCCACTCACTGAGAACACAGTCAATCAATTCAGCACACAATGGGAAGATTGTGGGAAATACTGTGTCATATGTAAACAACAGCTTTCCTGTATTCTAATTGGCTGTATTATCTATGGAATGTATAAATATTAGTTGTCAAATGCTTTGTTGTGGTATGCCATAGGATATTCCACTTGTCGTGATTTTCTTGGTGTACACACCCACCTAAGTCAACAATTCAATTCAATTCAATTTTAATAGATTTTATATAATTTGCTGAAAATTTATTTTAATGTAGTAATTTATCATTACTTTTCTAACATGCCCAACTCCTGTTGATCAGTGATTTGATAATTCTTGGCCAGTTTGACAATCTGTAATCCTTTCTGTAAATTTCTCTCATAATTATGCTTGCGGTCCAGGACATATTCGTCTTCCTTGCTAAACACGGGATCCTTCACTAACAAAGACTCTTCAAATAAATTAACAAGGGAAGACCGCATTAGAGAGGAGTACGATGTTAATCCCATGCAGAACAGTCAGTGATTCCTGGTAATATTATCTGTTTCAAGGAAGCAAAGCTACCAATATCTTGATAAACTCCAAGATATAAAATTAAAAAAGATACGTCTATTCTAAATGCACAAGGCATACCAGAGATGCTAACAAGGTATTAGTATCACCCAACTAATGTAGTAATACAAATCCTGCATTTTAATTGGCTACGCTATTAGAGGACTATTAGTAATAGTCCTCGAGTAGCGAACTTGGCACAATCAAGCGTGACCCTTTCTTTCATTTTATTCCCAAATAAATATTTCTTCAACTTGCTGCATTTGCTAACTTTATTATTGCCTTTACTGTCTGACTAGTTGGGTGATACCAAAATCATTAGACTCATTGCCCTCAAGGGCCATGGGTCAAGAGCCCATTTGGCTTCGCCTCAAAGGCTATTGACCGGTAGCCCTTGCAGGCTACGGGTCTAATTGTTAAATAATGTGTGGACTCCAAAATACATTTTCTCTTCATGTGTGTATGTTCTCAATCCATTCTGCTATAGGGAACCCATGGCCAAGCCAACATCCCCTGAGTATAGATTTAAATGATTGTTAACTTTTGAATCTCCCTGCTTATGGTATTGCCTATGATATTACAGGCTTCAATGGACAATATTGATCTTAATGTCATGCTATGTACCAGTCAAATCCAAGATTGCCCAACCANCAGTGATTTGATATTTCTTGGCCAGTTTGACAATCTGTAATCCTTTCTGCAAATTTCTCTCATAATTATGCTTGCGGTCCAGGACATATTCATCTTCCTTGCTAAACACAGGATCCTTCACTAACAAAGACTCTTCAAATAAATTAACAAGGGAAGACTGCATTAGAGAAGAGTACGATGTTAATCCCATGCAGAACAGTCAGTGATTTCTGGTAATATTATCTGTTTCAAGGAAGCAAAGCTACCAATTTCTGTGATAAACTCCAAGATATAAAATTAAAAAAGATACATCTATTCTAAATGTGCAAGGCATGACAGAGATGCTAACAAGGTATTTTAAAATATCACCCAACAAGTGTACTAATGCAAATCCTGCATTTTAATCAGCTACGCCATTAGAGGACTATCAGCAATAGTCCTCGAGTAGCGAACTTGGCACAATCGAGCGTGACCCTTTCTTTCATTTTATTCCCAAATAAATATTTCTTCAACTTGCTGCATTTGCTAACTTTATTATTGCCTTTACTGTCTGACTAGTTGGGTGATACCAAAATCACTAGACTCTTCGCCCTCAAGGGCCACGGGTCAATAGCCCATTCGGCTTTGACTCATGGGCTATTGACCGGTAGCCTTTGTGGGCTACGGGTCTAATTGTTAAATAATGTGTGGACTCTGAAATACATTGTCTCTTCATGTGTGTATTTTCTCAATCCATTATGCTATAGGGAACCCAAGCCAACATCCCCTCAGTATAGATTTAAATGATTGTTAACTTTTGAATCTTCCTGCTTATGGTATTGCTTATGATATTGCAGGCTTGAATGGACAATATTGATCTTAATGTCATGCCATGTACCAGTCAAATCCAAGATTGCCCAACCACCNCCCCCGCCTCCTTGCCAAGCAAACCACCAGGTATTTAAGTTTCAATCAAATTCTCCACTGTGTCAGCAGTGTAACTGGTTGGTGGTTTGCAAAGAATCAAATCACCCTCCACATTATTTTTAAAGGAAAAAGGACAACCTGAAAGCAAATGAAGACAATCATAATGCAATGTCTACTGGAGAGACAAAGGAGGCAAAGGAGAGAGAGCCTGGGATCGAAGGTTGCCAAAGAAGATCATTAATTACATAATCCTTTAGCTTCAACTGCTGAGTCATGTTTTGTTGATGGTCAAATACTCAATTGGATGCCCTTCATTTTGGCCAAAAAATTACCCACTATTAAAAGAGTCAGCTATGTATGGGTGCTCCTGGATTTGACTGCTACAAACTGAATAGCATGTAATCAGATTTAAAAACAATTTGAATTGTGTTGAAGTCATCACTCAAATTGTCCTGTGCTATAAACCCTCAAAACATCTGTGCCACCTGACAATTTGTAATTTCCAAGTAAGCCCACGTAATTCTTATCAAAATAACGTTATATAATTTAACTTAAGAAACGATCTCAAGATTTTTTAAAAGCTCCCTTGCTTCAGTACCAAATATTTACTAATCATATCGAGGTCAAAGGCTGATTACCCGGTTCACCAGTCTCTTTTCATGTATTGAGAAATTCAAGAATTTAAAAGAGACTGTTCACAGTGTATGTGATATTAAAGGTCACATCCTTTCCGTAAATAAGGTTAGTTTACCTAAGAATCTCTTCCTCTCCGTCTTCTGTCGTCCTCCATGAAGCAGGTAAGTCAGTTCTGTTGTGTCAAATGAAGCTTTCGCTCGCTCTTTCGCTAAGTCAGGATTCACTTTGTTATTAGATGCCTTCATTATAACCTGAGTCCAAGTTATTAAGCTCGCTGGACTTAAAACGGCCGAGAGTTTTCTTGCTTTGGTTTCACGACGCAGTCAGCTCTATGCGGCCAGCACAGTGATCGCGTGATGGAAGCCCAGAGATTGCGTGACGAGAATCTTGACGACTGGGACTGATTCTTCTCGTGACGAGAAGAATCTGGGACCCAGTTCTTGTTTACAGATATATGTATTTCTTTTAAAACTATCAAAAGACATACTGTACATCGATCTATCAGGCCATTCTAGGTGTTACATTCATGCAGACGTCACACAGTTGTTCGGTTCGGAGAGGTAAAGTTCTTCAGAGATAATGATGGCGCACGTAACGAACTGTTTCGTTAGAATGTTTCCGTTAGCAACTTTCCTAACCATATCTGGTCACTTGTTTGGATGGTCAATCGCGAATAATATTCTTTCGCCGATTCGATTCCCTCCACCAATAAGAGTCTCCGAAGATCAAAACTATCCAACAGGCCATCTTCAACCTCTGGGATACCAGCGTGCACCCAATGGTCCCGTTCAGGAATACTTCGAGGTTCTTCGAGGAGATACGTTTTGGGAAGAACACGTTAGTAAGGGAATTCCACTTGTGTTTCGTCAAGGAATTGCTGAATCGCCCGCTCTTTTGACTTGGACAGACGATTATTTAAGAGAGAATTATGGCGATCTGGATGTTCTCATCGAGTTAAAAGAGGAAAATCGCTCCCACTCGGCTCGTAGGATGACTATAATGGAATTTCTCTCTCGCTACAAGGAAGAGGATATCTATATTGTCACCGTTCTTCCTGATCCTATGAGACGAGACATCCAGGTAACCAAGACTTCGGTTCAAGAAATCAGAAATGTTTCATTTGCATAATACTAGTTCCACTAATTTCAGATATTGTTTGCTTCTATCACTTGCTCAATCTGTAAGTGAACCACTGCACGTAAGATAATGAATCGAGAAAATTATGCAGCTATAGCCGAATATCGGAAATTAATAAAGTTTACATATCGGAAAAGAAGGCGTTCACAACTAGATTGGCTTTGATGTTGTGTTTCCAAGTTTATTTTACTTGATATATTGTTACATGCCAAGCAAGTTAATAGGTAGGTAATAATTTAATTATTGTCGACATCATTTTTTTTTTTTTATTTAATTCACGACCAAGACTGTAGTCTCTTTCGCTGCGCCTTGCTGATCGTCATGCAGCGGTCTTACCCTCCACTGGGGAAGAGGTGTTGCGTGACAACCCAAGTGACGCCCATGAAGGGAGATCAGGGGAGACTACCCGTGGAGGGGCCTGGACTGCTGCAATAGCTAAGGGCCAGTCACTTAAATAAGCCAATCAGAATTCTTTTATTTGTTGGTCCAATATTTTCTTACATGTAGTACTGGACCACTTGCCAGGTGACGTTAAAATGTGGTAGGAACAAATAAGTGGCCCACAAGGTGATAGCCAAGTGTGTCGCTGATGTACTTACCACATTGTTAAGTCTTCTGTAATCAGTTACTGAATAGATGCACAGCAACATGGAATCTACTTGTTTTATAAAAAGAAACAAAAAATCTTAAAAATTATGACATCACCTATGCATCTGTCCTCCAATAGATCATAAGTAAAAACTAATCAACATGCGAGAATAATTTGACATATTAATAAATTTTTATACTGGGAGGAGGGGAAGAATAAAGAGCACCCTCCCCCACTGAGTCAGCTGACATACATGTAACTTGTCTGTTTTCTGACACTCAGGTTCCACCATGTTTGTTGTGTGGTACATTTCTTGATTACGTTCATGAAACTAACTTTTGGATGAGCTCAGGAGGAACACGCTCTGTCATCCATTATGATGCTGATCACAACCTGCACTGTTTGGTAGCTGGACGCAAGGATTTTATTATGATAGAGAAAAAGTATTACAATGATTTGTACTTTCTTGAAAAGGTAGGTTGGTCAGTTTAATGTACTGGAAACTCATACATTCAAATTAAATTATTGTAAAGTAACTATCATTGCATGCCTCTTCTATGACCATGGTCTACTTTGGACCATTCTTTTTTTCGATTTAAATTGTTTTATCTGTAAATAGTATTTTTACAAGTTAAGAAGTTAACAACAAAGCATCTGGAATTGAATCTTGTCATTTGCAATATTCTTGATGCACAACCAGATGTTCTAAGAAATTTCAATTTTTCTTAGTCGTAATTGAAGTCACTCTTTTCCATTCCAGTACTCATGTACTTAACTACATGCAAACTCTCATAATGGCTAGGTCTAACATTGCAAGACTTCAAATTAGTTAACCTCCTATATTCTTCCCTGATTTAATAAATTTCACTTTCTTTCATTTGGGCAACTGGAGATGAGACAGGTGTCCACAAATGAAGTTATCAAGGAGATGATGTTTTGGTCATTTTTAAGGCTGAGTATAGGAATGCATGCTGATATTCAGCTTCTCTACATCGTTAACCATGCTGTTTTCTTTAATTGCAGAATGAATATTCAGGATCAGGATTCTCTGAAATTGATCCCAACAAGATAAACCTGCTGGAATACCCCAATGTGGCAAAAGTACCATGGACTTATGCAACACTTATGCCAGGAGACTGTATTTACATTCCAGCAGGTATAATTATACAAACTAATTAGCCTTGATTATTCACACAAGCAAGGAGCCCAGGAGGTGTACTCCAGATTTTAAGTGACAGGGACAATCACAGGATTTTTTTGGAATTTGAAATTTTTGATCGGCCCCAGGTCTAAAAAGTATGGACTGAGCACAGCGAGCTTGAGGTTTGTGAGGACCAATGTCCCGAGCAAGCCTTGTTAATTTATTACAAAACTGAAAATGGTTTGGAAAAATGCTGTGATTGCAGAGTGGAAAGAAGTGCACAATCCTGATTGGGAGCCAACCAGGTGTATACTGATGTCTAATGTTTTAACAAACCAGAAGGGAAAAAGAGTTGGTAGAAAAAGAAAAGGAATCTTTTAAATTATGTTTAAAGCAGGTTCTTTCGGAGAAGTAAACCCTCAAACAACCTAGAAATCTTGAAGAGTGGTTGTGTGGGATCATTCAGGACAGTGCCCAGTCCAAAACTGAGCAATCTGACTGCTTGATTTTACTTATTGGCCCTCTGAACTACACTGCAACTTAGTGGTGTATTAATACGGCATATCTCACATGACCAGTCGTGTTTCTTTTAAGACCCTTTTGGTTTTTCTTGAGATGCATATTACAAGTTTCTTTCAGGATACTTGTTAATAGAAAATTGTGCATCATGTTAACAACTGAAAGTAATTAATATCCTCTTTCAAGCTGAGTTTCCTTTCCTAATCTACATGTAGATACAATACGTTTGGAGGATGATCATGAAGTGCTAAGAGAAGTGGTACCCATGTATTTCTCATCTAAATTTTGTTATCTACACAGAATACATACATCAAGTCAGATCTTACAACAGAACCATATCAGCCACTATCCTGTTCACATCTGGACCCCTAGTGGGTGCACCATTTGAACCCAAGGGCTGCAACAGAGAAGTGTTTGAGTACACACCCCTCAGTGATCTCAGAGTACATTGGACATACAACAAGGGTGACAAACACATTGAGATGGGCTACATGAACATAGAGATTCTTCGTTACAGCATTCTAGCGACTATGCAAGAAAAAAATGAAGGGCTATTGACAAAGGAGTCATTTGCTGAATTATGGGAACAATATGAAGAAAAAGCACATGAACATGACAAGGATGACCTGAGCAAAGATCCCAGGAGAATTTTTGATCAGTATTTGGACACTGGAGGCAGAGGATTCTTGACAAAACATGACATATTACAAATTTCACGAGAAACTTTGAAAACAATAGCACGTTTGGTTGATCCTCCACATGGCCCAGAAGCTAAAGAGGAAGAAAATACCAGCTTGGATGAAAAACTAGCATCACATGAAGAACTCTGATCCTAATGCCTATCATTTAATTAATAAATATTTAATTTATAACAAGCAGAGAGAAGAGTAATGTTTTTATATCTCACTGCAGAACTAATTGTTTATAAGCTACAAGCAAATGTATACCATGGCTTTCTCAGATATTAAGAGGCCCTGCACCTAAGAAACGACCGATGATTTCCGGCTAAAAAATAAAATCGGCC